TATGCAACATTATATTCCCACATCATTCTATAAGTCTACGATTTGACAAATAATTGGCAACGCTGTTGATAAACTCATAACATTTGTGTAGAGTAACATCAAAGAAGATTGAGAAAAGAAACAGAGAACATTTTGAATTGTGCCTTTTTGTGTTATATCACAAAAAAAATCTTAACGGATTTTTAACGTCAAAAAAGCAAAACAAACAATGAAATTTCTCGGAAAGTGCTCTTATTTTAGCTAACATCGTGGTGAATAGGGACCGGGTGGGCAAAATAGCAAAACCTGGTGGGGAAAATCATCACGCACCATTGTGTAGCATTAGGCTTTTTGTTTTTATACTGCGTGATATTTTCACCTCATTACTCAAATTTGTGGGCACGAGGGAATCTCTTTTCGGCATACGTCAATTATTATTGATACCAGTTGGACTTAAAAGTCAATTGGAAAGACATTGTTGATGTAGAAGGCTTTGGTCAACCAAATGCAAGATTTGTTCTTAAAAACATTAAAATCCACAAAACAGCTATAAAAGATTCAAAAGTATTATTCCGTTAGACAATATCATCAGGTAGTGTCTTAACAGCTTTGTACCGAATTGGTAAATCCAATTCTTTTCTGTAAATGCTATATTCCAACATACTCTCCTGATCTGGCACCAATGATGACTGACTTTTTGTAGACATCTAAAAGATGCTTTATACTGGATTCACTCTTGTGTGGATTCTGTATTAGAAAAAGAAATTTGGTTCAAGTGTAAATGTGATCATCAAAACTAAGGTTTATATATATTGAAAGTTAAGACAAATTGTTTTAGAAAAACAACATCGATAAGTTAGAGTAGCGTTGAAAGAAATGTCTCTCTTAAAGGAGAGTATGACTGTCAATAAAGTCGCATTGCTAAAAAAAGTTTGTTTTTCTTAACTAAACTGGAGATTTATTAAGTGCTGTGTTATTATATTGTATATAAAATTCAATTTGACAATGTTAATCTCAAAATTTCATTCTGAGTTTTCATCTATATGTGTTTTCAAAGTGTGAGACTTCAACCCTATAAAACCACCTCTTAGGAATGAGTGCAAAGGATATCCATCGTATTGTGAAAACGTTGTTCTAGTAATAAGGGGAGAGATATGATCGAGAGGATTAATACCTGGTGGACTAAGTTTATCTAAGCCAGAAAGATAGAGTGTGGCGCAGGTAAATTGGGGGGTAGGTTAAATGGACAGGGTTATTACTTAAGCGCAGTGGTTGACTAAATATCGATCGCATTGTGGAAACATTTTTCCAGTATCTAATGAGCATCTTAGTTTATCTAAGCCAGAAAGCTAGAGCGTGGTGCAGGTAGATTGGGGGGTAGATTAAGGAGGCAAGCTTAAGCGTGGTAGTTGTACTAGTAGTGGATTATGCCACCGGGTTCGCGAGTGCCACGGTTATAGATAGGGATGATAAGGGCTTTCGAATATTGAACATAGAACTATGTGAAGTGAAATTTTATAAAAAAATATGAATGAAGAACAATTAATCTATCCATATAGAAAAACTTTTAGATTTCAATCTCACTAATGTGTATGTCACACATTTTAATATTTTAAATTGACCCTTTGTTTCATTAATCTACTATATGTTTTTTTATACGATCTATACGGATTTATATACGATTTTTATGGATTTATTGATTTTTGTTATTTTTCTTAAAACATTCATCCTTTATAGTATCAACCGCAAAGTGTCAGTTAATAAAATATTGAAGTGCAATTTAAGTTGCAGTCGAGTATGTTTACTTTTGCTCCTTCTGGCACAAAAGAAGTTTCATATCCTTTTTATTATTAATGCATAATTTATTAGCGCAAAGTTGCTTGAACTCGAAGGAGTGGCGGAGTATGCATTCGGTTACTCGCTCATAAATTATATCGATTAACGCGAATTTTACTTACATAATTCATTTATTATATGAACATCCTTTGATGAACTTTTAATAAAAATATATTTTTCCTTTCTTGCAGCACCGTTTACCGTTTACGACTACCATTTAACCGGAAATGAACCATACCACAGACATAGTTGAAGTTTGCGGGTAAATGGAGCAGAAACAGAAAAGCAGGGGCATATTTTCAACGACGATGCATGTACAAACCAACAACAACAAAAACATAATAACAAAAACTACAACTGAAACTTAGTAAAAAAATGTAATATAATTGCTTTGACTTACATAGACACAGAAACACTGACACTTAACAAACCAACAAAAAAACACAACTCGAAATTAAATTGCACAAAAAAATATTAACAAAAAAAAGAAAAAAAAAATAATTGCATAGTTTCAAAACATACAACAAAAAAGGAAAAATTAAATATATACAAATATATGATATATATATAAATATATATATATATTAAATAAAATAATAAGAGCAGGGCAATAGCTCTGATTTTGCCTACAATGTTGTGGAATTTCGCCAAATTAATTAAAACAGTTAAAAACTCAACGAATTTCATTAAAAATCAACGTAGTAACAAAATTAAAAATAGTAGTAGAAAAAGTAGCAGCTACAAAAACGTTCCAAAAATTACTAAACTGAATACACTGACAAGTTAATAGCATAAATTATACATATACAAATTAGTCAACAAACAGAATTAAAATAAAAGTATTTATTTATATTAGAAATAAAGAGAAAAAATACAAAGCGTATTGGACTGTGATTTATGCAAAATGGATAAATACAAACGCACGATAAAGGCAACACTAACTGATGTAAATAAATTAGTAGTAGATTCGGAAAATATATTGCAAACTACGTAAACACTGCAAAGCTTTAAGTAATAACTAATATTACTACTTATATATATTTAAAATTATAAAAAAAAAATATATATGTAAATTAAGGACAACACACATTTTTAAATTTAAATTCAGTTTAACACAAAAAAAATTTTTTTGAATTTAAAAACAAAAAAAAAAAACAAAAATAGCAACTCTCGCAAAATTATACATTATACATGAAGAAAATTTATATATATATAAAAGCGCAGTTTATTTAAAATTTAATATATTTCTAACAAAAAAAAAATTGACTAAAACACATCAACGAAAATTTTTCTTATAAAAAATTCTAAAATTCTCCGAAGCCTAATGTTAATAACGAACTAAAAATAAACGTATTTTGTATGAAAACAAAATTAATATATTTTTGTTTTTAAAAACTACGCAAACACAATTTAATAAAAACTTAATTATACATTAATTAAATCTAATCATATATATATAAATATATATATAAAATAATAAAGAGAAATAAGAATTTGCCAAAATGGATGAAATGCCCGATTTATCTCATCTAACTCCACACGAACGTATGCAAATCGAAAATGTGCTCATGCGACAGAAGCAAGAGGAAGAGAAGCAGAATGAGATTATGCGGTATGTATGTATAGTACTTTAAACAATATATGATATATAGTTATATATATACAATATATAATTATTTTGAACAAAATTTGAAAATGCGATATATACAACATGTCCCTAATATGTTACCTATAGTCCAGATCGACAGATAATGCACTAATCTAGATTACGTGTTATAAACATCTCTGCCCGGTAGTCTAAATTATATATATGGATTATCTCCATACATATGTGTATATTTTATTTGCTTAGAAACTTTGCTTGCTATTAGGTTATACATTCATTCTGTGAACGTGTCATTTAAAATATGGATTAACTTAATAAAAAGTGGATTTATGTTCAGTTCTAATTCAATTTTTGTTGTTAAACCTTCTTTGGTTGATTAAATATGGGCTAGTGTCTAAAACACTTTTACTCAATTGTGTTTGAGATCATTTGTAATGAACAACGTTAAATTCTGATAATAAGTTATTCAGATGATTTTAAAGAAGTATACTTTGAAGCCCAACATATCTTCCTGACAGAATATATTATCTGATCTATTAATAAGATAAATGTATAAAAATATGCAAGACTGTTCTTGGATTTTAAATATGACTTTTCAATTCCAAATGTGTCATTAGTCTGATTTGACTCCAATATTAATGTTTTTAGATTAGCAAAACTCTATTGTATATATGGCATAAACTCTATAATTCAAAAATTGTTTGTTAGTGAGTCTAAATACAGTAAATGTAGAGTGGGAATATATAACTTTTTATTACGTATCGATCTTTATCGTATTCTTCATGTGCAATGACTACGCTTCTATGTGTTATTGCATGCAGGTCAATATTTGAATAATCGGGTATTAAGCCAGATATATTAATAGCACCAAAAATTTGCTCCGAATTCTTGCGACTTTGAGCAAAATACGATTGTCAAAAAAAAACGATCTATAAGATGTTTTTTCTAAAGAGCTCTAGGATTTTAAATCAAAACAAATTAAAAAGAGATAATTTGAGCAATTGACTATTTTTTTATTGCATAGATAATTAATACCACATCTTAAGTATGAAAACTGCATCTCAATTAGACGTAACGTAAACATTTCTGAAACTGTGTCCTTGAGCTTTGATTTTCAAAAGATTTTTTCCAATGTTTCGTCCACATATAGCAAAGATTTCAAATAATTTCACAAAAATACTCTAGTTGCAGTAAAACACACCTTAGTTGTCCAATCAAATCGTTTTTATGGCATTATTCTGGGTACCATTGACGATGATATTCAAATTTTCTTGGTGTTTGAACAAATACAGTGCATTCGTGACACTATTCTATAAACAACATGTTAGTGCATCGGTAGCATATAATCTAAGAGATCATGTCACATCTCTAAGGACAATATATCTAGTCGTAAAATCTCAAGGCTCTCTTAGACTGTTTGACAGATACTGACATTCTTTCATTTGAAAACATTTTTTTAAATCAGAAATGGTTCAGGTACATAGTCTTGTATAAAAATATACAAGAACTGTACCCATACTATATATCTCTAGTAGAAATTACAGGAAACCATTAAAATTTGGTAATAAATAAGGAAACTCCTTTAAGTTTTTGGTTTTTAGTATATCGATTAACTTGGTATTTATCGATATCGTCTTATGAGTTTACGTTTATATATTTACTTTCTCTGAGTTCCATTTTACAGTTGTAGTAATAGTAATAGCGAAGTAGCAATGCTAATTGCTTTATATTATTTTCAATTTTCTGTATTAAAAAAATCACAATTCAATTATAAATAATAAATTAGATAAATAAATATCACGCGATTTGACAATTTCGCAGCCCGCCGGAGATTTATTTTAGAACTCCAAATTCATATAAAATTCTCTTTTAAATGAGAATTTATCATTTTGTTTTATTATTATTTTGAACTAATTTAAATAACATTTTTGTGCTATTTCAGGCGAAAGCAAGATGAAGTTGTCACATTGGAAATGCAAATACGTCAGCGTTCCGAACAGCAGAAGAAAGCCGGCGTTGAGCTTGATGCGACCTGCCACATATGCCTTAAGACTAAATTCGCCGATGGAGTTGGGCACATTTGTCATTATTGCAATATTCGGTGCTGTGCGCGGTGTGGCGGAAAAGTGACGCTTCGCAGCAATAAAGTAAGTCAAATTGATTTCTTTTTCTTCTGTTTTTTTTGAAGTGAAAACTTTCTAAACGAACTTAAGTACTTCGGGAAAATATCTAAATTGTGCTGGTGATGTGTGGAATTAGGTTACCTTATATGTGCTGACAGAAAAGTAGTTTGAGATGGGCCAATATTTGTCACTGACATGTACTACTATGTATCAACTACTTGACATGTTGACGTGTTGACAGTTTCACGGTATAAAGCTTTATTCATTGAAGAACATAGAGGACATGAGAATATACTTTAAATAGGTGTTAATAAATGGAAATATTTGCTCTACTTCTCTTTTTATTCTAAATTAACAGAAGTTAAATAATCTTAAGTGAAAGATCATTAAAAAGTTATATCTTATCATTTTGTTATTTATTATTGTACCATATATAAAATATATATGGATAAAGTTCTTAAAAGTTTCATAGATACATTGCTTAATAATACACTAGCAGATAAGTTTTGAAAGGCTTCTAATTGACAGAAGTGTTTACTATTAACGAATAGATGGCGCTGCGCAAACTTATTTAACAAGATATTCAGATTATTATCATTTAAGTAAAATATAAGTATAATTAAAAGTGCGGAACCAAAAATACAACTAAAGTTCTACTGCTAATGTTTAGTATGGTTAGCTGGTTGATATTCTGGTTGCAGTGAAAGGTCAGCAGTTATCTTTCTGCTGATCACAACTAACGGTTTTCGCCATTTTACTACCATATTCTTCGCAAGTAAGACTAAGAGCTCGTTTTTATCGCTGAGCAGTCTTACAAACTGTCAAAAAGTACTTCCCTAAAAATCTATTTATTCTAGAGGCTAAAACTGGATATTCACAAAAAAAAATTCTAATAGTTTCTAGAACTAAAGTATTCATGTCCTGGGTTTTGTCAGTGCTTTTGTGTGTATGCAAAAGGTGGTTCGTCTCAGAACAAGTGCAACAAAATTACGCAGCTTTGTAAATCGATGTCTTTGTAAAATTCTCAGAATTTTCTGGCCAAACCACATTTCTAACAAGAAGCTATGGTGAAGAACAGGTTTGGCTAACAGTAACGTCGACATTCGAAGACGCTAATTTGGCTGCATTGGACCCACACTACTTAAATCAAGAAATGACATTGCAAATGTTCATTAGTGCTCATTTGATGTAATCCACAAGGCACAAGATGAAGTGCAACACTGAACGAAATTAAGATTGTTTCCAACAGAAACAATTACAGCAGTAACAGTGACCTACGAGATATCGCGTTGCAAAGAAGACAAAGGAAATTACTTGTAGATAACCTACGCCCAGTATAGTAGCAGGAATCATACGACGCCGCACAAGGCTTCAAGAATATAAATAATAATTTACAATATTGCACTATAACATTATCTCTTTTTGCATTTTTCAATAGCTTTAGGTATGTACTAGTTGTTTTATTAGCTGTCTGGATCTATGAGTGCAATTATTTCAAATATTAAGGTTTTAAAATTTTTCATATTAAAATATATGAAGTACTTGTATTGTAACGACTCACTTTCTGTCGCTGATGATGCTGAGGTATACTCAGCAGTCGTCCAGGGGTCGTTGCAATAGAATTTTTATTTTGGAAGTCAAAGACGATGTGATATAGTAATTTAATTATTTATTTAGGAGAATTTAAAATAAAATTAAGTTTTACAATCTAATATAATTATAATATAATGCTGGTTTGCTAATTTGATGACTACGATTATTTGGAATAATTGTGCTTCGATGATTGTTCCGATTGTTGTTTCCACGTGCCTGAAATGTTGCTGTCAGACGAAACTACTTGTGATAATCTTGGTGTTTTGTCAAAAGACGTCGTTAACTGGAGATTAGAAGTGTTATACTGGGTTACAGCCTTGGTTAGCATTCATTAATGTTAGGACGTATTACTACCCTAACTCAAACCTACAGAAAATTCTGCTAGTCAAGATGTATCATGACTACCTTGGCTTGATTTACATATAAGACTACATATACAATCTACTTGTCAAGACGTATATACTACCTTGACACTATAGTTCTACTGACTTGTTTCGCAAAGACGTATTACTACCTTTGAGAGTTTCCCAACAAGTGCCCTTGCTTGTACAATGTACAAGCTTTTCCTGTAGCGCATCGGTACATTTGCCGTTGGTATTTTTGATTTCCATCCTTACAGTATTTCGCAAACATTTATTTACCCAAACTATTTTTATCCAAATTTCAAATTCTTAGAGAAAACAATTTTAAGAAATATTTGAAACATCCCTGCTTTTAAAAGAGATTGCGGTAAAATGTAGGGAAGCATATTTATCGTAAAATTGCTAAAGACACGAAACTCCAATTGTTTAAAATAAAGCATTATTATTAATACTTTAAAACTATTTTTTTCAATTCCAACCCGTTACTACCAAGGATCCATAGGACTAAAACGTGTTGCAGATTTGAACTCAGTTACCTCAAATTAATCTAAAACCTCAAAAAAAACAGAGAAAAATCATTTTTGTCGCTTAGTGGCTAAAACGTTTTATTAATTGTCTCTATATTCAATCTATTTAATTTTTGTAGATATAAACTATTCCTTAAATGTTTAATAGAGAATTTAAAGTAACCTTTGAAATAATCATATTTTTTGCTAAAACGTTTGAAAGAGTGAACTAACTAAACTGAATAACATTTATCATTATTTTGCGAAAATATCACAGCGTCACATACAGAGAAAACACATAAGCAAAAAATCATCAAATAAATAAAAGCAAGGATACAAAGAATGAGATTTTGTCGCCAAACATGCTGGAGACCAGGCCATCATTCCATACACAGACTCTGAATCCATGCGAAAGTTCGAGTTTGAAAAATTGTAAGTTGAGATATTCTATCACTCATCTGCGCATTGTTAGCCGCTAAAGCCAAAAGCCATTGCTTACTGGAACTTAAGTCGATTTTGGCAGAAAACGCATTTATCATTGTTGCGGAGCGTATGAAGGACAATTGCCGAATGCCGCTTGGTACCACATGCGACAAAAACTATAAAGGCACTCATTATTTGCGTTCTGACGCTATTTTTCAAAGCAACTTGCATAAAAGCAAACATTTCCTATATAAAAACATAAAAAATGAAATGCTTTACTTAAGCATTTCTTAAGATATTTTTCTTCGACACACTTGCTTTACACATACTCTCACATACTCGTACTTATTTATTGTAAATAAATATGTGCCAAATGTATGTAATTGTAAGTGGAAGTGTCCTTTTGTCTGCTCAGAAGTTGCGGCGAAGTGTGACACCATTTCTCTGTTACCAGGCACCAGGCCCTCGAGAAGCTTCAGGCATTGACGTCTTTTTCACCATAACTAAAACCTCAGATAAAGAATATTGAAATTTATTTATTTTAATATACGGACAAAGAAAATATATTTGTCTAAAAATATTTCAAAATAATAAGATAATATGAAAATTATAAATGCTTTGGACGCCTAAATTAGGTCAATGAGCCAAAAATAAAACTATGGGCGGCTATACAATTAAATTGTCTGTGGGGACTTATAACTTATAAGGACCTTTTTTAGCAAGACTTGAGATATTTGCGTCACACGTATATAAAATATTGAGAGCAGTAAAATTCAAAATTCAATTTTAAGAGACTTCAAATTTGTTTATTTATTATATATTTATTATTATGTCTTTATTATTATTTATTTATTTATTATTACTTATTTACTATTATTTATTTATTATTACTTATTTATTATTATTTATTTTTTATTACTTATTTACTATTATTTATTTATTATTATTGATTTATTATTATTTATTTATTATTATTTATTTGTTGTTATTTATTTATTATTATTTGTTTACTATTATTTATTTATTATAATTTATTTACTATTATTTATTTATTATTATTTATTTATTATTATTTATTTGTTGTTATTTATTTATTATTATTTGTTTACTATTATTTATTTATTATTACTTATTTATGGTATTAATATTTATTTACTATTATTTATTTATTATTATTTGTTTATTATTAACATATATATTTATGATCTCTTATTATTATTTAAAATGATCACGTTTTATTATTATTTAATGCTATTTAATACATAAATTTGAATTAAATTATTTAAATTAATTTAAAGAATAAATATAGCAGGATATTTCAATTAATGTATATCTTTATAACATGATAGGTACGTCGGTATCTGGAGTAGTGGGGTTCAATTCTTTAATTCCCGACTTCTTCTTCTTCTAGGTGCCTTATCCGCTTCGAACGTTAGCTAACATGATTGCTATTTTGATTTTATCTGCAGCTTCTCGAAAAACTGATCTTGTACCATTGACGTAAATTCTTCAGCCATGATATCTTTCGTCTCCCAGGGCCACGTCTACCTTCAATTCTGCCTTCAATGATTAATTTTAGTAGTCCATACTTTTCCGGATGCCTCAGAATATGACCAAAAAACTCCAACTTTCGGCCCGATTATAAACCACATAAGAATACATAAAAATTCCTAAGTGGTTTGTAGTCGGGTCTCAAAGAATTGAATCCGACTACATAATATCAGTAAGACTCTTGATCAGAATATTTGTTTTTTATTTTATATTAAACAGTTAATAGAAATATAGAAACTTTAGTGTTCTGCAGTAGTCATTGAATATAATACAAATTCTTACAACGTGCCCATCAGACATTGTCTAGAAAAAGCTTTTAGTTTAATTGCCTTAAAATAGTTTATAGACTGCAACTGTTAGAATTAAACCCTGTCACTTTGTATTTCATACATAGATTATATAAATTATCTATTTTATTCTACGAAATATTTTAATGTTTTTATAAGATAAATAATTTATTTTATAAATATGAAATTAAACCCACGATTTAATTTTCAAAACATCGGAAAAGATATTGTCAGACTATTCAAGAGTTACTTCACAAAATAATTAAATACATATTATAAAAGTTCAATGATTTATTTTGCAACAATAAAATAATCAATTCGATTCCTCTTAAGTAGAAAAAATAAATTGCTATTTTATTGAGATCTTACATAAGAATGTTACTTCAATGTACTTTGGGTACATTGATGGATCACCGACGGTTCAACAAGTATGTCATGAGATAGAATGTTCCCTTTAATGACGTTTGTACCAATCTTAAAGAAGAAGAAAGCTTTTCCAGCTGTTTTGTCAATATCCAACGCATATGTTTGTTTTTATTAAATATGCTAAAGATTTCTTTTCTAGATGATCTGACACATATCTAAGGTAATACCTCTTATAATAATCTTAGTAATTAAACTTTAAAAATGATTTTATGTAAATATTTTGAGTATTCTATAGCAACTTGCGAACCAATCTAAGTGAATCCTTACGATCACGTCCATAACCTAAATAATATGAATCTCTTAGATTGCCTTAATAGCCTAACATAAATGCTTTGGATCACCTTAACAGTCCAACCAACATGAATCCCATGGATTGCTTCTATAACCTAACTCTAATATGGATCCTTTAGATCATCTTAATAATCTAACCAAGATAAATGGCTTAGTTCCCTAATTAAGATGAATCCTTTGAGTCACATATAAAGCCCTACTTAATTGAACTACTTAGTTAAATATTGGAACTGTTACTTCATTTCTTAAAAAATCAGATAAAAAAAATTGACTTCAATCTCATTCATATTTGATTTATTTTTACTTCTTTACAGGTGATATGGGTTTGCATACTTTGTCGTAAAAAACAGGAGTTATTATCCAAAACTGGGCAATGGATTAACAAAGCAGCTGTGCAACAAGATGGTTTCATAAGACGCATCGAACCGGATGGCAGTAGTGTAAGTATTTCTATAAAATACTTAAAAAAATAAATTGAATATAAATTCTTTTCTAAAAACAAAAGATATTATTTACTTCGACTAAATAAAATAATATGTTCTTATTAACTAAGTATTAATATTAATTTTATCATTGTGCCATAAACTTCTAAAACTAACTTCTTAAACGTGAACAAAATTTGAGCTTAATTTATTTACGCTTTTTAGGAAGTACTATATTTAATATTTCATAACTAAAGTACTTCCATGTCGTCATAATGTAACACGATCTAAACACAATAAAAAAATTGCTTTCGTTCCTTCTTAGGATATCTCCCAACAAGCAATTGTAGATCCACACGATACTACAGATAAGCGACCAAAACTAGAACGCACACGTAGTGCAGCCGAAAAAGAAAATTTGCCAATGCAAAGAACTGGAAGCGTGTTACGCCGTCAATACTCACAACAGGAGCAAACAACGAATAGACGTATGTCTGGCACGGACAGTGGGGTGGATATGATAAGTCCTAACCAACGGCAGCGTATGCAGCCTATGAACCCACAGCAAATGCAGCAGCAACATCAATACAGTGGACATGGTATGCAACAACAACATACACAGCATCAACAACAACAACGTATGGGTGGTAATTACGCTGAAGAAGATCCAAGATTATATCAGGTGCGGGGGGTAAATAAGAGATGACTTTATCAATTTATTTAATATAATTCAAATCATTTGTATATACTTATGAAAAAATAGGGTGAAATCGATGGTTTGATGCGTCAACATCCACATTTAGCACATCCAAGTCAAGTGCAACATCAACGACAGCAACAACAACAGCAACCAATGCAACATCAACAGCAACAACAACAGTATCAACAGCATCAACAGCATCATCAGCAACAAACACAACAACAGCAGTCACATTTTGGGCAACAACAGCATCAACAATCGCAACATCCCATACAAGCACAGCGAATGCATACCACAAATCAACAACATCCGCAACAGCATCATCAACAAATGCAACAATCGCAGCAACATTTGCAACAAACTACTTCGCAGCAACAGCAGCAACATATGAATACGGCACATCATCAACAAAGGCTTTCACATCAACATTCCTACAATCCCAGCCAAAATGCAGCACTTCACGGAGCACAACTGCCAACGCCACCTGGTGGCTCAGCGCAACAGACCTATCAAAA